TTTGATCTATTAATCTACCAAATTCATGAATTATTCACTGAAAATTTCTAATACTCAGCCAATTTCTTTAGCTGTCTACATAAGAAACATGAAATCCTATGCATCACAATTCCCTTATTTTTAACAATCAATATTAAAGGGACTCCTTCCTTTTGTATTTTTGGAAGATCATAAGCCGAAGGTGCCCTAGCATCCCTCTGAAGAAGTGAATTAATTTTTCACTTCTCAATTTCTCCTCTGTTTACACAAACGTTAAGCGATTTCTTAAGTCTGGACTTACGACTTTATGTGGGATCCTTCACTAAAACTCTGTAAGTTTCTTTGTCATTTAAATGAGCCATCATTTTTTGTATATAACTTAACCTATGATGACCACTGCACCACCTTTATCTGCCTTTAAAACAAACAGATCAATTTGGTGCAAATATCTAAAAATATTATTCAAATCATAAGATTACTATGGGATAATTACCTCGCCAAAATAAGGAATCATTTCGCTTTCTATACAATTCTTAACCTCTTCTGGCAGCTTCACGATTAAGATAATTAACTCAACCAGTATCTCCAAAAAATGATTTTGCTCATTTGGAAAGGCACAGTTTAGACCCCCTTCCAACACGAGCGTAACATTATCATCTATAGGGATACTGGATAAATAAATAAATTAATTAGTACTTAGTCCAACTACCTCCATATTCTGTGAGTCTGCCATTCGTGGCACCATATTACAACGCGTCAGAGACAAGTGAAGCCAATCCTTTGACCAAACATGTGCTAAACAGTTGTGGTATCTACCCATTTGCCCTGGCCTATTCACATTTCCTATATCCTCCTATCACGCCTTCACTGTCACAATTTTACCGTGCTTATTTTGATATAGTCTGGTATGCTCCTTCGAGCGGCATTCATGAAAACCCTTCACACTCCATGCTGTCGTTCTCACCCCCTTCACCCTTGTGAGGATAATGTTGACCAGTCTTTCATATTGTTACGTGAAGGAGCACATCACACTACATCAAAATAAGCACTGTAAACAATGTGACAGTGAAGGCGAAATAGGAAGATATAGGAAATGCGAATAGGCCAGGGCAGATGGGAAGATACCACAAGTTTTTACCTCCATATTGTTTCGACGATTCCTTAAGCTGATGTTAATGCCTAAATTCCTTAATTTATAATCAGGTCAAGATCTATGGATCTTATCCATCCTGTCCGCCATTTTATGCTATTTGAGAAAGTATACTTGAGAAAACAGCATAAAAAGGGATTGTCTAGTCCGAGTCGGTCAATATGCTCCAGAAAGAACCATACAATAATAGTTAAATCCCCTTATAATCATTAATAAGGCAAATCAATAAAAAGTCACCATTTCTCTATGCTGGCGCTCTTGCAACGACTTGTGTCGGTGCCCAGGAAAGTCATATCTGTCCTGGACTCTATTTGCTGAGTAGTCGGATTGCGGCCTAGCGAACCATTCGATACATTGAGAAGACTGCTTCCTGTAGTCGGTTTGGATGAGTTTAACATCCCGACATCCTGAGTTGATTTAACACCAGGTGTGCTTCGGCAATTTTCTGCGTTGACTGTGCCGGCATTGGTGAAGTGAGAAATCTTATTAGGACTAGTGGCCGCAGTTTTGATTCTGGCTGAAAATGTGGGAATGCAGCTAGTTGTGTTTGACGAAGTCTGTACATCTTCTGAACTAACTAAAGTGTCCAGGTGTGTAAGCCTTTGTTCTTCAGGCTTGCCAAGGTAATTAGTAGATACCATCGTGACGGCGCCAACAACAGCAGAGATGTTAGGTGATTCAATAGGACCGGTGGAGACCGGGATCTCAAGAAGAGGGACAGGGGTGTCGAGAGAGTTGGCTTGAGTTGACTAAAGGAGAATAAGAATATGGAAACTACCAGCTTGATTTAAAGGATAAGAAAAGCCAATAAAAGGAAAGTACAGATTACATCACAAAAAGATGTGCAAAAATAAAACTAGGTAATGGTCATTTGGAAAGCAGATATGCCATATCACTATAAGTAGTGGTAGAACTGATAAAAGTGGTTAAGACTGAAAGTTAAACAACTTAAAAAACGGAAGTCGTCCGATACACTTTTTAGCATAACATAAATTAGACGGTTTAGAAGTATAAATGCGTTGGTCGAAATAAATGTAAAAGATCAGCCTAAATACTATACTTCCTACCGTTTATAACATATAGAAATCTCGTTTCACAAAAAAAGAAATATAAGTAACGTGATCGATTGCTATAGCAACCGACAACCACACTACAGAATGTGATATGGGAAAATGCCTGGCCCTTCCTGAAGTTCACATTTACCTTTTGACCCAATGGCACTCGTGGCAATTTGGTTTAGTGAATAAGGTGTCGAGATTATACGCTGCACCGTCATAGTTATAGTCATATTAGGGATGTTGCTAAGGCCTAGGCGAAGTCGGTATTACAGTCCACTTTGAATAAGAATACCTTTTGGGAAAGCAAGGCTGTGTGAATTTCAATAGAAACGTAAGGCCTACTTATATCCTTGTGGGAAAATTCAACTACCAGTCACCTTATCACCTTAAACGAAATAGGATTTATATTTTACATATAAATTATCTACTGGTAGTCTTGAAAACCTACTTGTAAAAACGAAAAATAATGATATATGGATGATCAATTTTTATTAAATATCAGCAGATGATTGTATTTCAGAAACTTGGAAAGTTCAAAATTGGAGGTTACAGGTTACATAACAGAAAGCATTAACTCCTTTTTCACTACCCTAGATATTTGGATAGGTTAAGTTCAGTATGTAATGGCAAAATG